GGCACCGAGCGGGGTGGTCCCGCCGGGTGGTCCCCAGGCCAAGTCCTGACCCAGCGCCCAGGCAGGCACGTGCACGCGGCTGCGCGAGAGCTGAACTCGTTTTGCTGCAGGCTGTGCAGTTTGGTGCTGGGGAACAGCTCTTAATTTCAAAGACACTTACTTTTTTCTGTCAAACCCGAAAAGAATCTCCTTCTCGAGTATCTGCGGTGTGTTTTAAGTGTGCACCGCCGATGGTCCCACACGTTTGGCGTGGGTAATCCAGCTCAGTGGGAAGCACACCCCTCGGACACCCTTCCTGGCCCTGAGTTACGGGAATTCAACAGGATGTTTTTTCATGTTGAGGTTCCTTAGGAAATAGGTTTGGATTCAAACGTGATATTCTAACAGGAGATGAGTTACACTATTTACAAGATACATTTCTGTGACTTTTAAAACACCTTGTACAATGAAGTTTTAAGGCTAAAACATAATCAGATGTGTTTTAGAAGTAGTCTTGGGAATAAAGCAAAAAAATACATATGGAATACTGGACTTGAAAACAATAATTTTGGTGAGTGAGTCCTTTACCATGCAACTGCGTACAGGCATGCAATAGCTAGGAAGTTCTTGTCATCAGAAGCTTCCAATTTGGTCTGTCTGTAAAGCAAACTACAAAAGACCAGCAGTTTGAAAGCCACTGTGAAATAAGGGGAAAGCAGGAGCCATTACCCATACCTTGGGCTTTGAAAATTTTATGTAGTTCATTTGTTAATGAAAAAGTCTATTTTCACGTTAGCTGTACTTTTTTCTTTGTGTATAATCCTTTACAAATCTATCTATAAGCAACTGATTTCTAAATTTGTGCAGGGTTTTAACAAATGCCCAGATGATGATTTTAATTTGCCGTTTGTAATGGTGGGTACGTCGAACCGTGGTGAAATAACTGATTCAGGTAAGACTAAAATAAGCATTTACTGTGCCCATTTAACACCCCTCACCCCCCAATTAATATTGTCAACATTTTTTCAGGAGTAGTTTAACGATTTTTTAACTGTAACTCTGTTAAATACAGTTTCATTGTTACTTTTTTGGAAATACATTGATAAAAATCTCTTCATATTTCAGATGCGATTTCACAGCCAGTGAAACTTTGCTCTGAGGTAGATGAAGAGGTCAGCTAAGTATAAACTCTGTGTATCTGATTTCTTAGGGCCTCTTAATTTGTTCACAACACAGTGCCTAAGACACTATTCAGTAGATGCTTCATGGCTAAAGGACGTAGTCAAAGGGGAATAATAATTTTCTGTCTCCTGTTTAAAGCTGCATCACTTAGAGGAGGTATTTGCGATTCAGTGAACATGCCTGGAGATAAACCTTTAAATATTAAGGCGATTTCCAAGTTGGTGGTTTTGGGTTGGGTTTTTGTTTGTTTGTCTTGGGGTTTTTTTCTGTAAAGTGGCTGGGGACTCTGGGACTGTTAATCAGAGTGAGATTTAGGTATTTAAATAGCTTTTGAGAAACTGGTTCTGAATAATCTGTTGAAAGGCAGAAGGATTGAAGGCAGAGTATTCTTTGGAAAATCAAAGCAGATTATCTCAATTGCCTGTCTGGCTTTATTTTATCTATAAAGCAATTAATGTAGTGGAGTGGCTTCCTCAAGCACTTGATTCTTCTCATAGCATTTTACCCACATTTTTCTGGGCCAGTAAAGCTAATGTTTTTTTTCTGATATGAAATACGAAGTGCTGTTTCCTGCAACAAAATGGAACATATTTCTTGCAGTCCTCCTAACAATTGTTGTACCACTGAGGACTAAACTCCTTTTAGCCCAGCAGCTATTAAAATACAGTCAGGATTATAATAACATCGTGAGGCAGCCAAACCAAGGATAGCCTTAGGTGACGTTACAGCTAAGACAAACTGCAGATCTGCCTTGTGGCACACTGCATTGCTTGTGCCTGCCTGAACCACTTGGCAAGCGCTGCTTCTGCAGCGCTTTAAAGATGTTCTAAGAGGACAAGGTTGGTTGGTTTTTCTTCCTGCTTTGCATGACTGTTAACTGCAAAAACATGTCACAGGTAGTCCCAGACAAGGTCTCTGAAGCTGATTTTACTTAACTCAGCAGTATGTGTCAGCGTAAGATGAGGGGAACGGTGTGAAGAGTCTAATGGAAGGAATCTTGGCTCTACTGATAACTCTAGCAAACTTTATTGCCTTTTGGCGGAGTGCAGCTTTCCATATCTTTAAGGCTATCTCTAGCGATGTCACTGTATCTGAAGGCAGTGGGCTGTTCATTTGTTTCTGTCTCCGACTTGTTCTGTAATGTCTGTACATACACAGTGGATGCAAAAAGATTTCAACTTTAAACTGCGGTTCCTGACCGTATCTAAGCTTGTGTCACCACCTCTGGAAAAAAATTTACTCTTGTGATATTTCTAAGAGATAAACATGTATCTAAACCACTATTAATTAAATGGCTTTTGACATTAAATTGTGGAACCTGTTTTAATAGAATATAGAAACAATGAATGAATTGTATTCAAAACTCTACAAAGAGGCTGAGAAGATCAAACAGTGGAAACTAACTACAGAATCAGAACTACAGCAGAAAGAAAGAAAACTGCAAGAAAATAGAAAGATTGTGGAGGCACAGCGTAAAGCCATTCAAGAACTGCAGGCCAGTATTGTACAATATGCACTGAATATGCCAAGAAAAAATTCTTATTGATTTAGTATGAAAATATTGTTCATACAATTGAATATTAAATAATGTTGCAGAGGTTGGAGACATTTTGAGCTGTTAATGTGGTGACTTCATAGAAGCCATTTGTCTAGATACCAGTGACACATGGCTCTACCGTTCTTCAAGGAAAGAGTAGCATTTCGTTTTTAAAAGTGCTTTTCCTTCCTCTTTTTAACAATGTGCATTTCACTTGCATGTGTTATTTACATGCATATCGTACTGTGGGTATGGAGAAACCTGTTTATGACTGAACAACCTTTCAGCCTCCTGGTAGGTGTAAAGTATGCTCACGTGTATTTCTGCATTCAGCACATATGGGACGTAGTGCACTCTGCTTTAACCTCACTCGCACTGGTAGACAGCTTTGGGACTGAAATGCGTATTTTAAACAATTTATTGGTCCTTCTTTTTGCTTGTTGTTTGTTTGTTTACACTGACTTTGGTAACCTGGGTTGTCTTTGACCGACTTTTGCCTAGAAAAAGTAGTTGTTGTGAGAAAGGGTGCACACCTGTAGAGTGTGAACGTGTGAATAACGCACCTGTAAGTGTTTGGGTTGCTGGTAAATTATTGTTTATTTTTATGTCTTTCATGCAAACTAACAAAAGCTGTCTCAGCATGTAATATCAGATAAAACAGATTTCTGTCTTCTGATGCAGAAAATTACTTTTTCATGTGAGATTTGAGAAGTGAAAGTATGTTTCTAGTATATTTTTCATTAACAGTGTGTTTTTGTATTTGTCCTCTATGAAATCAGTTTGAAAATGAAAAACTAAGTTTAAAACTAGAAGATGAGATAAGTGAAAATAAAGATCTTTTAAAAGAGTAAGTAATACAGTCAGATATATTTTTGTGAAAATAGTTGTTGTGTTGAGAACTGGCTTAGTGTGGGAAGTTACATGTAGCTGTTAAATTGTAAAGGTCATCAGGGCATTTACATGTTGCTGTTTTTAGTTAAGCAAACTACCATGCACTCCTGAGACAACATGGTACAGTATTTTTTTCCCCTCTTTTAGAAACAGCGCTTCAAGGCACCTGTGTAATCTGCTCAAGGAAACCTGTACTCACTTCACAGAGAAGTCCACCAAATGTAAATGCTATTTCAATGTTGATGTATGAAACTGAACATAGTTCTAGCTTTCTCTAAATGCATGAAGGAACAAACCTGTCCTTCTGTTCCAAATACATCCTCTGGTCGAGATAAACTGTACATGGATCTGCATCAGAGTGAAGTTGGAAGTGAAGCCATAGGTCTAATACATGTTTTGTACTGCTAAATGCAGAGGTTTTCTGAAGTCAGTACTATTGTTTAATAAAAGGTTACAGGCCTGAGGGCTGTTGAAGTGACTGAACCTGAGACAGGTTTAAGGCAGTGCAAAACAACCCCCCTTAGCCACTCAGCCACTCCAGAGGAGCATGGGTCTCCTGAAATCTTACCAGCCCACTGAAATTTTTCAGTCCCATCCAGACTTGAATGGATTAAGACATATGAGGTGGCACTTCATGCCTGTGTTGGGGCAGTAGAATCTCCTGTAGTTACCTTTCCCAGCTCTCTTTAACAACTCTGCAGGTTTGGTGTTGTCCTGGATGGAGCAGGTACAGATTTGTGAGGAAAAAACTGTCCAAACCCCAAGATGGTACAAGTAACTGGCATTCTTCTCAATAAATTGATCAAGCCAAGACAGCTGGATAAATTAACAGTTTAAATTCCTGAGGTTTTGTTGCCTTGGGATGAAGCATTACTACAATTACATAATGACAGTTTTGTGGTCCTGGATATCTCTGCTGATGGGAAAAAAAAATCCATGCTAAGCCTTATATTACAGTTTTAAAAATCCTAACATTTTTAATACTTTAATATTCAACAACATTAATACCATCAAAATTAATGTAATTATATAAATTGTTGCAGAATTACACTATCCATGGAAAAAAGTGAGATGGGGAAGGAAATTTGAAAAACTGAGCTTGCTTAATGTTTTAATGGAATCTACATTTTCTCTAGGTTATATAACTTCTGGCACCCTGTTCACAATGATTTTTTTAAATAAAAAGAGCCTGTAGTTCCTTCTTTAATTCACGATGCTGTTCAAGCATAACTGCTTTGACAGCTGGCATTCTTTTTCAAAAGGAAAACTTGATGGTACATTCTTACTTTGACAGATGAACATGAAAGGGAGGAAACAAGGCAACTCTACGTGGAACTTAATAACAACATTGAAGTAAGTGACATGGCTTGCTAAAAGGCTCCGGTGTGATCCAAGTTACATGGGTGTGTTGGGGTAGCCAGGGTACGTGCGTGCTCGTACAAAGAATGTTCTCAGATAAACTGATCAGCACCATCGTGTGTGATGCAGGAAATCAGGTTTTCAGTCCCTTTTCAAGAGTTACTTTGGTGTTGTCTAGAGCACATTTATTGGATAAAACACAACAGTGTTTTGGCTGTAGGTCCGTGTGATCTGCATGGTATGTATGACCTGCTTAGTGTTAGGTGACTGCCGTAACTTCCGTCTTCTCCTGGTACTCTGTTTCACCTACCTGGTGATTTCACGGCATGGCTGAGGTTGGAAGCATCCTCTGGAGAACTTTCCCTGCTAAAAGCCGGGTCACTAGCGCAGGTTGCCTAAGGCTGTGTTGTCAGGTTTTGGGGTCAGCTCTGTTAGGGTTATTCTACTGGATAATTTTATTTTATGTAAAGCACAATATAAAATAAAGATGAACAAAGAAGTTCCGTTTTGAGTGTGACACAGAACAACAACATTCATTATGGAAACTGGGCTGAATATTCCTTGATGTAAAGAGTTTTTACTTTTTAAATCTGTAAAAGAAACGCAGTCTTGTCAAATTAATTCATCATATTTTTGTTATTAGTTATTCCAGTGCGGAAGATAAGTCCCTAGTATATTTATAATAGAAAAATGCAAGGCATCGTTGTTTGGGGCGTGATGAACTTGCTATTGAGCAGAGTCAGAGAGTACATGGTACAATGGTTAAATATTCTAGGGGGTTGTAGCAACTAGGAAAAGCACAGCTCTTCTGTTGTGTCAGGGCTCTACCAGCATGGACCAGTAAAAACACTTCATCCCTGAAATCGTTTAGACCTTGAGTACAGAAATTCTTAAACTTCCTACTTCGGATAATTCTAACGTTCTGTTAACTTGGGATGTGTTTATGCTCCGATTTGTTTTTAACAAAATTTCTCCTACAAATATGAATGAGCTTGTAATACTCTGTGTTTACAATCCATAAACATGATTCTTCAGTACTGAAAATACTTAGTTTTATATGACGATGTATGTTGAATTTTATTTTTTAGAGAATGATAATGGCATTTGAAGAGCTTCGTGTGCAAGCAGACAACACTAGATTGGAAATGTGTTTCAAGTGTGAGCATTCTGTTTATTGGGTTTCTGCTACAGATTTTAACAATTTTTTCCTCCTTGGATTTTATTGTGTGCAGTTTCAGGCCAGGAAGATACGAAGTGCTAGAATGATGAACTTTGTTCATGCTGCCTGCTGTGAAATGCCTGGGGGCTTTTATTGTTTTTCCACTGGGTCAGATTTGGAACTTTATTAATGCAGTAGCCTTTAGCTACAGAAATTTTAATTAAATATTTGCTTTATTTATCCTACTATGTGCTCGTTTCAGTTTTACAAGTGCATTTCTGCTAGTTTCTTATAATGAACTATTAAGTAATACATGGAGTAATGGACTAATTCTGTGGGAAGCTGGCGCAAAAATTAATTTGTCTGATTAGAAAATAATTTCAAACATGACCTGAAAAATTACTTTTTAGGAAAAAATTGTACAGCTGTACAATTATAAGCAGTCTTAAACTGGAAATTGTATTTAACTTGGGAGTATATTTTAGCTGGTATATTAACTATGGATATGACTATGTCTCAAAAGTAAAAGAAGAAGCAGAAAAAGTGGACAAGCTTGAGAAAGAATGCAGGCTGGAAGTCAGCATGAAGGAAAAGCAGGTTTGCTCAGTTTTACAATCTAATATGTTCAGGTTTACTTTTGTAACGAATCTTGCAGTTTCTTTAATATTTGAACTCTGTTTTGCTTTTCTGACTTACTGATAAATGAAAATAATTACTGTAAAAGTGCTGGATTGTTTGTAAAATACTTACATTTTGGAGGGATGGAAGTTGATATTGCAAATGACCTTTTGTTGGCATGTTCCTTCTCTGTTATTTCTTTGGAATAAAATGTGAATTAGGCTGCTGTATTGTAACAAGGGACAGGATTTAAAAGCACCATGTAAACATTGAATAGCCTCTCTGTTCTCTGTACATGTGCTTGTCTTTATAAAGTGACTTGTGCAGAAGCATAAAATGAGCGAAGCATCGCTCGTCCTGGTTAAGAAAGGTATAGTTCATACTGGGAAGAAGGAAGGTGGGAAGAAGAAGGATTACCGTGCATATCAGACTGCATGTTGGTAAGAGGGTTTAAGAATCTGAGATTAGAGTAGGTTTTCTGTAGTGGTGATGAGGTAGCCATGATGGAAGACTGACATTAATTGTGATAAGAGTTTCCAATTTGTAAGCAGGAGCCTGAGAGCATCTGTCTGGATTTTGGAAGGTCAATAGTTGATTTTGCTGGGGATGGATGTGACGTTGCAAAGGGACAAGGAGTGTTTCTGGGCACCGGTAAAAGCACAAAAATAGTGGCTGGAGCCGCATTGAAGCCAGATTCTGCTAACTTTAATGATGTTCCAGTATCTTCAGGGTGTTGGAATTCATGTTTTGGTTTTGAACTGAGAAGGTTTCTCCTCCAGAGTAATATGACTTGATATTTTGCTGAGACTGACCACCTTATTTAACTTGAACGACAGCAGCATGTATGCTAATCATACATGGTGCGCAAATGAAATTGAGAGTCTGCCCTTTTCTAGACTTCATTATGATATGATTTTAATTCTGTTAGATTTCAGTTCTTACCATACAGAGTGATGAAAAAGATGATATAATAAGAGACATCAAGACTCGGCTGCAGGAGTCCAAAAATAAGATTGCTGACTTAGTAGAAGCAAAAAGTAAGGGTTCTCTCTGCTATGTTAAAATGTAGTTGGTTGTAGAAGAATGGTGTTGTGCTTTAACCGCAGGCAGCAACCAAGAACCACACAGCCGCTCACTCACTTATGCCCTCCCACAGTGGGATGGGGAGGAGAATCGGAGGAAGACAAGGAAGCTTGTGGATTGAGATAAGAGCTGTATTGATCTGTTTCAAATCAAGTTAATGGAGGGTCTTCACAGTATAACATTTCTTCAGTGGTCCCTAAACAGTAGCCTTGTTCTGTGTTCAACAAGACCTTTTCACATCATTGCCAAATAACCCCCAAAATGTTAGCACTTTTAAACACCATCTTATTTCAAATAGGCAAAGGATTGACTGGGGTTGGAAGTAGAACTGTCACAAGGGTTCTTTATCAAGGGCGAGTCAAGCAGGGAGAGCTTTTGAAGATTGCAAGGGGAAAATACATTGCTTGAGCTTTGCAAACTTAGTCAGGTGCCACTGAGGAAACCTAGTTTTCAGAACTTGATTCTCAGTATTTCTGAGCCATTTACATAACAAAATATATTTGGAGTATATGATGCAAGCGCCTTCGTTCTTTACAACTGCGGCAGTTTTCAGCTTCCCCTTCCCTGAGGAGTGGGGAGGAATTTTTATGCCATATGCGTATAAATGGCTGCATTCTGTTAAATTTTATAAATACATGTAATTTTACATTTTGGTTACTGTTATCTAATAATCATCTTGGAGGCTTTTTCCTTCACAGTGACATGAATACGTTATGTAACTTGATGAAGTTGCATGGATGTATCTATCTGTGAAATAGAACTGCAAGTATGTTTTTGTAAATGTCCTACTTTTCTTAAGCGTAAGCATACATCTTTTTGCTTAGGACATGAAGGAGAAATGCTAAAGGAATCCCAGATCAATCAAGAACATTTGAGGGCAGAACTGGAAGAGGCCAAAGTTTCATTGCAAAAAACAGAGGTTCAGCTCATTTATAGTTTTCCAGTATAAATAGATTTGACGAGTAATTGCATAAATAATTACTGATACTTTAGATATGAAACAGTTATATGTTTGTTGCAAAGCATGTTTAGAAATGATATAATTTTTTGTAGGTTGCTCAAAAGAACTTAGAAACCGAGTTGCAGACTACAGTCAAAGCATTAATTCAGGTCACTGAAGAAAAAGAAGCACAGGTGGAAGAATGTAAAGAAGCAAAGGCTTTGCATGCATCCCTGAGAGAGGAGTTTGAGACTTCTATTTCCAGTTTGAAAAGCTTGCTGCAAAAAGAGCAAATTAGGTAAATTAAACAGTTTACATCTGAGGAATTGTGTTACAGGTAAAATGGTAGGTTACTGAGTGGCTGGGAATAAAACACAGACTTGGTATGTGATCTGGTGTAACTACATTTCTTTGGTAATCTCTAATAACTTTGCTTTAAAAAGTCCTTCGCCTGTCTGATTATTTGAATTTTTAGCACTTGAAGGCAGCTGTGCTGTTTGATTTCGTGTGGGTGCAGCTCGTAGTTACAGTTCTGTATTAATGGAACATTTAGTGAGGAAGATATTCTTCCATATGTGATAATAGCACTGTTTAATGCCCATGCCTGTTCTTAATGTGTTTCAGTTTTCTGTAGTTTTAAAAATTATGTATTTGCCAAAGAACCTGATAGAAACTAAAATCAATATTTCTAAAAATGAAAACAGGGCAGTAAAGATGTATTTTAATACATTATCCCAGCTGAGTTTTTCAAGAAACAATGATTCTGGGTACATGGCATTAAGGAATCTTCTAAGTAGTTGCAGATCATGACAAATCCAGGAACAAAGGAATATGAAGCTGAAATTTGTTTTTTTGATACGCTGGTCTAAATCCAGAGAGTTTAGCATAATTTTTTTCAGTTGTGCTGGTTGATACTGGTCTATAAAAAGCAACTCTGCTCGTCTGCCCCCTGCCAACTTCCATAATTCTATTTTTGAGAAATACAGGTCTATGTATGCTTATATCTGTTTACCTTTCTGTCTGCCAGTCCGAAGTATTAAAGCTGAAATTTCATACGAGTTGCAGGCAGATAGAGCACCTGCCTGTTGAAAGGCAGATGTTCTTAAAATGATTGTGGTAAGACTGTTCTTTACGTTTCAAGTGCGGTGCTTTGTACTGTACAATTTTGTCTTTAATTACCATTTTCTTAGAGTGGAGAAATACGAAGAGGAGTCAAAGCTACTTACCTTGGAGCTCAGAACTAAGTCTGCTGAACTGGGTGAGATTTGTAGAAAGAAAACGAGTTAGGTAGTATTAAAAATCATTTCTGCTGTTTTCTGAAGATAGACTGGCCCTGTTGCTTGGAAAAAGGTTTTACAGCACCCTGTACCTGTCAGGAATGCGTAAATGTATTTTCGCTGTCTGACTCCATTGGTAGTCATTGTGGCTGGCAGCAGTCAACCAGCAGTGCTGTGCAGAGCTCCGGTAGTGAGACCATACATGCCTGCATTCTCCCGTCGCTTTGGTTTCTCTGCGCTCTGCCGCTTCAGAGCGGTAGCACTGCGGACGTGTTTGAGAGGCAGTGCTAGACTGCCGACCAGCACATTCCAGGAATGAGTCGTGTAGCTTGCAGAGGGGCACAGCACTCGCAGTAAGCTTTCCTGCAGACCACTGTCCCCGTGTTGTAGAATCACACTGACAGGGGTTGACTTTGAATATTGTTTTGATATCCTGTGATTTCTAGATATGGGCTTCTTAACCCCCAGAGGAAGAGATCCATCTTTAGCACTGCTTTCCCAGCATGCAGCTGTGTCTCTAGTCCTGATACAATAGATGGGAAACGTTGCGGGGTGTCCTTGTGTGTACTGAGGGCATCTGAAGATCAGGGTTCAAATAACTTGTAATGCTTGCCCAGGACTGGTGAGATGTGACCTGTGAGAATTCCAGAGCAAAACTGAGTTGGGTATCTAGTACTTGCAAAAAAGTACCAGTAATGTGAATGTGCACATAGAGAACATTTTGAAGTTACTAGTAAGTGGTTTCCTTCTTCAGCATATCCATGGGAGTATCTGCAGCAGTCCAGACTTTTTTCTGAAAAAAATGCAGCTGCATCAATATCTGGACATCACTCCTTTGAAAATTTTCGTGCAGTCCATGTTTTATTCGAAGCCGTGATTGTGGAAAATGTAACAGGCTCTGAATTTTATTTAAGATGAATGATTAGTTTCTTTTCAGATTTATATTTCCTAACATGTTTCTGAATCACTTTCTCAATTCTACATTTAGATTGCCAGAATTCAGGTTATCATTTACCCTTACAATTTCTGAACTTAATCCAACAAGTTTTGAAAATTGGGTACTGCAAAGGGATAAATGCTTCATACTACTTGCTAAATATGTAAAATTATTGCTGTTCAATCGATTTTACATTACATGTGCTGCAGAAGAGATGACTAAACTGAAATGTGACAAAGAAATGCAACTGGAAGAGCTGTCAGAAACACTGGTAAATGTTCATTTTTTTTTAGTCTCATGGCATTTACTTTCCATATGAAGTCTCTCTTGCTTTTTGAGTATCTTTAACACCATATATAAAACACTGTCTAATCTGCCTTAGTCTTGCTACTAAACTTTCTTACCTGTCCTTCAGATGATTTCCATGTTTTCTTTGAATGACACAAATATTTCCACCATTTTTCTTGTTCATTCTGGTTTGTTTTGGTTTTCCTTGTCTACATTTCTGGTCATTTCCTTCTTCATTCACACCTATTCAGATGCCACTCCCTCTGGACGTGAAGATTTCCCATTTGTAGTTATGCCTAGTACTCTCCTCATTCTGCACCTTCCTGAAAACTGGTCTTTTGTGTGTGTGTGTTCCATGCACTCCTGTTACACTGGGTGTTCTTGTCGTCTAAGGAAGCTTCCTGAAGTAAGTAGCTCTGGTCTCTGTGAACCCTACTGAACTGTGAGGCCCATTTTCTGCTACAGAAGTCTAAGCTGTATGAAGTCCACTTTCAATACAGGATTATTTTAGTCATGATCTTGTATTTACAAGTCTAACAAGAAACTGTGTCGGCAAAGTAAGGTGTGCTAAAATGCAAACCTGGTTTCACACTCTGTTTGTTCCTTATGTACTGTGCACTGAATTTTCACTCATGTTCTTCAACAGGGAAGAGTTGAAGGACTTCTAGTGAAGAAGGAGGATCTTGAGGCTGCTGTAGAAAATCTGCAGGAGAGAGAAAAAGAAATGAAAAATGTTCTCCAAATCAGAGAGGTCTGAATAAATGGTGATAGTAATGTGTTTTTCTAAATACTTCAGTTACACAGTATCACTTGTGTACCAGAAACGTCAGATAGTCAGACCAGTGCTCCCCCCAGTGCGCTGTGCTGTTCTTGGCAATGACAGGAAGATTCTGTGTGGTAGAGGAGCCTGACTGTTCTCTGGCCCATTCCCCTTACATTCCTACAGCAGCTGTATTAAGGATGTTTGAGGACACGTTTATGGACTTGCTCATATTCACTTGTCTCGTCTGCTTTTGAGCCTCCTCATACTACTTGCATCCATAGCCTTCTGTGGTAGGAAATTCCAGAAGTTCATTGTGTGCTGTGCTTCAAAACTAATCTCTCTCCCTCCCTATCTCCTTCCTTCTCCCTCAGCCCCATCAACTGCCTGCCAGAGCCTGTGGTATCAGTATATCGCCAGTTATTTGGAGGAAAGAGTATCCATACATTTATATATTTTAAACTACGTTACATTACAGGGTTTGCCTTATCTTATTGTGGCAGCAATGTGGTTTGGGATGCATCCAAAACATGTGCTTACTCTCTCACATAGTACTGGAATTCTGTGATTTTTTTCATTTATTTGTTTTATTTAGGTGAATGCAAAAAGCTTATGATGTCTGAAACAAATGTCTTTGTTTAAGATAATGTCAAAGGAAAGCGAATATCAGTAATTTTGCAGGCTAGTCAGTTAAACTTATGGTAGGGGAGACATTAAGCATTCGTACGAGTTCAGTAGCTGACACTCCTTCCTCATCTCAGCAGAGGGGTGTAGAGATACAGTCTGGCTAATCTATGGCATGTGTGCAGTTTCCTTTCATCATAAAGCTTTGTGTCATCAGTTCATTTCTGACCACTTTCATGACTTGTCGTTTACATATGTTTACTCAAAACACTCTTTTTCTTCTGCAGAAGGAAATCCATGATTTGAAAGCACGGCTGACTAGTACAGCTGAAAAGGAACAACATTATTTACAACAGCTTAGGACCCTGAATACAGATCTGGAACGAGAGGCGTATGAGCATTTTGAAAATAATCGGGGGTTTTTTGTTATGTAGAAGTGTCTTTACAATAGAATGCCATGATCTGTGATTGTTTCCTAATGACAGTTTGGAACTTACTTATGCACACAGTATGACATCTATTAGATCCTTCGATTTCTCAATTGCACTGCTGTGTTTATATGTGTGTAATTGTTCCATGTCACTGGGACTTAGCTGGGTTACCTTGAAGAGAAGGTTTCTGAACTCATTGTTAACCCTGCTTTGAGCTGGATATGGAACTACATCATGTTCAGCAACCATTCTGTTTATATAAGTTGACTCTCGTTTCCTTTCTTTGTTCCGTTGCCTTTTTGCAGCACTGTAACTTTCCTGCAAAACTTAAATTTGTACATCCAGGCTTGGACTTTTTTCAGCGTGAAGTAACATTTTGTAACTGATACATTTAACTTAAAAGGAAATTAAAAAAATACGTGTTCTGGTTTCTCTTGACAATTTGTTTCAATTAGGCTGAAGAATGAACAACTAACAGTGGATATCAATAAGCTTTTGTTAGAAAAAGAGCAAATCACACAAGAGAAAAGTGACATGGCTGCAGAATTCAAGAAACTGCAAGAAAGTCATGAGGCAAGTTGTAAACTTCCAGCTGTTTTTAAAGGGCAGCATTCAATTTAAAATATGAATTCAGTGGTAAACTGGAGTGTGGCATGGTTGCAGATACTCGGAAGAGTATCTGAACAATTATTTGTGTTTGAAATACTGAGGAAGCGCAGTCACCTTTGTGGACAGGGCAGGTCGAGATACTGCTTAAGATGTCTGAAACGTTTGAGATGTCTTTTTGAGTTGTATTCAGCTTACGTGCATGGGTCTTTATATTTAGGGTAGTAGAAAGACAGAAGAAAAGGCAAAGCAGTTAGTTGAAAACCTGGAAGAAGCAAATGGCCAGCTAAGGCAAGTAAAAAGAGACATGAATGTGCAATTGTTTAAAGGAAGCAGACTTGATTCCTCCAGAGTTAGCCCAGATGTTGTGTTTATATGCTGCTTTCTGCAGTTTTTAGATTAATGATTTTGGTTTGGTTATATGGCTAAACAGAAACTGTTTAGTATTGCAGTTGGCCATGTAGAAGCGTCTGCAAACCAGTGATACCTATTGGTACAGGAGCAATTTTTGCTATGGCTTTGTATGACATACAGCTGTTCTGGTCTGCATGACTGTCTTAGGTGTGAGGGACATGAAAACAGGAGTTAAAGGGTATGGATTAGCAGCAGTGAAAAGAAGTTAAGTTTATTATGTAAATATTTACTAATGCTTCTTAATTTGGAATTTAGAAATGAACTGGAGTCTTTGAAGGAGAAGATGGCAAAGAAAGGTGAAGAGATTAAAAGTAAACTGGATGAACGAGAAGAAAATGTATGCCACAACCTGTGCTTTATCATGGAAATATGTAACTTACGTGTAGGACAGAAGCTAAATGTGCAGCTATATTTTTCATTCCTCCAAAGCTCTGCCTAGGGATGTAATCTCTTACAGAGGCTTTCTTCTTTCAGTGCTCCTACCAACCCAGTTGACGTGTACATGTGCTGAGCCCTTGCATTTTAACAGACAAGGACCTTCATGGGGTGTTTGCTGTTTACATGGGGGCTTAGAAGGCCAGATTTGTTAGATTTCAGGCAAACAGAGAACTCCATTTTTAATTTCTCAGTGATGGGTGGGGTATGGATTAGCTTTCACTGTGTAAGTGGAGTTTTGGTTTAAATATGTTGAAATACTTTTACTTTCGAACTAGAGTTTCAAGGCACACCTGTTTTTTTAACATCATAATGGATTTCAAAATTTTACTGTAAACGTCAGAGGTTTACAATTATAATTCCAGGCTAAGAATATTGAAAATGAAATTTCAAAAAAGGAAAAGCAGTTGAGGATTCTAGAAAATAAGGTATGAAAATTCATTTTCTCACGTACTGTAGAGAACTTCATAAAGATTATTTTTTAAAATGCAAAGTTCCTTTTTTTCACTTCTTTCTAAACTCTGCCACCACTGAAGAACTGGTTCACTGCTATTAATGTTGATGTTGGATTAGCAAAATTCTTGAGGTGCTTCATGGTTAAAACTCCAGTCACTGTGACACATCAGCGTGTGTTTCAGTCCCACTGGGATTGATCGCACTCGTGCAGATGCATCTTTCAGAGCACTGACAGTAATCTTCAGCAGTGAGTCATTTCTTAGGAGCTAATTATTGTTTGAAATATCTCTTTTAGTTGAATAATTTAAAGAAACAGGTGGAAAATAAAAGCAAATGCGTTGAAGAGTTGCAACAGGAGGTATGTACAGCTTTTGAGTGTCACAAATACATAACCTAGGGGTTTTGTGGGAACTCTTACTTTTCAACCTTTTTCCTCTGGTGTGCTATCTTTGGATATACCTATGTAATTTATAACATTTCCTTTTTATCTTAACTGAACAAATAAAGGAGTCACCTTTGGAATTGCTTAATTTGTAAAATTATCCTTACTTTTGAAAAATGCAATTACAGAAATAGTTTCTTTAGTAAACTTTAACTATTTTCTTCTAGCACGTGGTGTCATTGATATACTTGAAATAATGGCCTGTCTCAGTTAGCAATAGCAGAAAAGAATTGTGCATTAGGAGAAATTGTTAATAACTGAGATATAAAAATATGTGACTTGTATTTTTTCTCATGACAACTGCACATTATCCGTCAGCAGCATCTCAGTTTTTCTTCCAATTCTGCACCCTCTTTCGTTACTCTGTTGGTGCCCAGGAGGAGTCTCTCATAAGGTGCTGAAGTAAGTGTTACTCGAGTAAGTAGCTGAGCACTCTTCCGTTTGGAGAACTGATCTGGAGCCTGACCTGCACAGCAAAGAATTATTTGCTCATTGAAGCTGCAATTTGGAAGATTCTGACCTACTCGATGCAGTTCAATCGATGCATAATTCTATTAACTGACTATAGTGTTTGGTTAACTTTATTTTAACAGAATAAAATGCTGAAAAAGAAAATCAGTGCAGAAAGCAAGAAAACAAGTATATATGAAGGGAAGGTAAGTTTAAATACCCTCATGTACAAGGTGAGAGGAAAGCACAAAGGCTGAATGTTTCAAGTCCCACTGAATGATAATACACGTTAAGCATGTTCTTAATTGTTTTATGGATCTGGGATACAGATTTTACAGGAACAAGGCTGGAAGTTTTGGAAGATGTTTCCGTTTTTATCATTGGACACTGGCTGGGCCATCAGTCATTTGTAGGAGGTGGACATCGTGCCTCAAGGAATCACGTTCCTAATCAGTCCCTTTCTTTTTTGGTTGATAGTGTACTGAACGTTATTCAGTAATGCCACCCCATTGAAATAGCAAAGCAATTAGCAGAAATAACTATTTTATTCATTTTAGACACTTCTTTTACTTTCTTCTGCAATGGTAAGCTCCTAGTTAGAATATTGTGTCCCAGTTTTGGTTACCTCACTTCAGGAAAGTTGTCTGTTTTGAGGGTATTCTTAAAAGGAAAAATTGTAATTCAGATATACACTGGGAAGGAAAATAGACCGTAAACTAGTTAAAATCATGAACAGATTTACAAGGGAGGGAATAAAATCCCTATCATTTTTTCCGAAGAATTCACAGCATTTAGGGTGACTGCTTAGGAACAGGCTTTTCCTGTTCATTTCATACCCAATTCTCATTAATACTAGCAACTAAAAGCATTCATCTTTTTTAGAACTAAATAAAATTGTGAAAATGATCTGCTTCTATATACACTGTTTCTTCACTTCGTAATTGAAAAAAGGGGATTTAATTGTCAGCATAATACAGTCACACTGCTTGATCCTAGGAGACTATGGATTATGCTCCCTTTTCCTGCCTTGCATTCCATGCCAGCAATACTGGAGAGTCTTTTGTACAAAAGGCAGGACAGTGTCAGTTGCTGATGCATGGTTCCCTTCTACTGGGATGATTCTTTGCGACTGACTAGCCTCCTGCTTTGAGAGTGTCTTTCTGACTGGGGTGCACAAAACTGGTACGGGCCGGCTTTGCCACTGTGGTGCTGCCATTGTTTCCATGAGTATTTTCTAACTCACTTCAGGCCACGGTTCAACTCTTTATGAAAAAGCTGAACATTTAAATAGGGAAGAGCTCAATCATATACCTGAGAAGTACCCAAGTGGTGCTACTTGAAAATAAGAGGGGGGAAAAAAAAGGCAGATTTCTTCCTGAAAAAATAACAGCAATAATTCTGCATTCTCAAAAGGTGAATAAATTACAGTTAGAGATGGAAAATATGAACAAGCAACATAAGGAAACAGTTGACACCTATCAAAGAGACATTGAAACAAAAGAAGTAAATGAAAACAAACTTCTGGAAGAGGTGAGAGTTGTTGTTTTTTACTGCAACTTTTAATGATTGTTTTGGTGTATGATGGCTTTATGAGGCTGTATCGGCCAGTTCTTGCTCTCACATAGCAGTTTTATTGACATAAATGGAACTTCTTGTGTGTGCATGTGAGCAAAGCTTTGGTACTTTACATTCTTAAGTTGAAGTACTTGTGTATGCCTGAAAATACCAACCCTGTTAATTCTTTTTGTCAAGATATTGGTCACAGAGATTTTCTTCTTGGATAAACACAGGATAAGCAAATTAGATTAGGACTTTTCCCATATCAGTATTTTCCTGCCCACACATTTTTGATGGTATTACAAAGGATGTTAGGGCAGAGTGCTTGAAATGGCCTTGTGGTTTGAAATGACACTGATCCCCCTTGGGAGGATGGATATACTTTTAATCTAGGTTTGTTTGCCCATTCTAACAATATGTATAAACGATGTAGGATTTGAAAAAAAAAGCTGCTGAAGGCTGCACTGAATGAGACCATATATACATTGCACCCGCAGGAGTAAGAAGAAATGAAGCTTTTTTTTTTTTAATATATATATGTTGTTGTGAATTGCTCATGAATTAAGTGGAACTTCCCACCAACAGGTAGAGAAGATGAGGTTGCTTGCTGATGAAGCAACAATAGCACAGAGGGAAACTGATATCCGATGTCAACACAAGATAACTGAAATGGTGGCCCTCATGGAAAAACACAAGGTAAGAGATTTTACTGGTTTCTGTGATTTGTAATGTGTGATACCGCGTTAAGTAAAACCTTCCAAACCCGCAATACTACAGATTAGAAAGTGAAACTTCTTGATAAAGACCTGAGTCTAGGAAAATTAAGTTGGACACATGCTTGACTTTTCATCATCTTAAGAAGAAATTCAGCCTCAGCCTTTGAAAACTTGCTTACTAGCAGATCAGTTCTGTCTATCGGAGTTTCTAGGATTTTTTTTTCATAGTCAGGCTTTGTTTGATACCACCCTTATGCGGTTCTTCAGTATCGGTTTGGGCCTATTTTATGAGGAGATTGCTTAGCGACAGTAGCAGTTTAACAACATACTTCAGTTTACAGTCCTTATTACTCTGTTTTGCAGTATATTTAGCAGACAGCACTAATAAAAATAATAGGGCTAGCTTTCATGTTCTGGGACGTGTAGCGCTGCCTGCAGGTAAAGCACTCCCTGTCATCCCACGAAATAACACTGCTTGTGCATATTTGCTGCTTTATAATTTCTGCTGAAGCATCACTGTTTCTTCATGGTGCTTTCTGAATCTTCAGAAGGGCCTTATTTGACAAAATGAGTCATGTTTTAAGACTATAATTGTAGCATTTAGTCAAATATTTTGAAGCTGTTGGTTTTGTTTTTTTAACATAGCATGAATATGATAAAATGGTTGAAGAAAAAGATGCAGAGTTAAAACTTTACAAAATAAAAGAGCAAGAGCAGTTATCATCAAAAGTATCATTGGTAAGGTGTACTCTTCAGCACTAAGTAATTAAGTGGAGGGGCTGGTGTCCTTAAATTATAATTATAATTAGACTTCTTCCTCTTTGACACTTGAGGGCGTTAAGTGTCTGCTTTATTGGGACTGAACAGTGAGGATCGCCCCATTCATTTGTTTACTCTTATTTTTCTCACAGCCTTTATTATGTGCATTAAAAACCCCTACATGTTTCTAAAAATCAATTGGAGTAGCTGTGCTTTCCTGCCTACTTCTCCCAATAGTGCCTCATGTTCTAAACTCTCTGTCTGAATAAGAAGCTTTTGTATGAAGTAGCTGGGTTTCACCCTCCAGCCCCTGTTCTCACAAGCGTTTCAGGTTCTCTCCTTGAGCGGTTGTGGTCAAGTACCTGTTTCTCAGTAGTACGTCAGCTCCTTAAAACAAACTAAACCAAAACTTCATCTGGAGCTGCATCGCCTTCCCCCCTCCCCTTTTGGGGAAGCTTGGCTTTGAGAAATGTTCTGAGAGCCCACACCCCCTCAGGACTGTCACAACAGTGTAGTTCTACAGCACCTACTTAAAATGCAGTATTGGTTCCCTTCACAGGGAAACAGGTGGCTTTTTTAATAGCAGGTGTGACTCCAGGCTGCAATTGTAGATACCTTGCGGCATGCTAACCTTAGGGATAAGTTAGCTCTGTTGAACAAATGGAATTCCCTTTCGTTTGTAAGGAATATCCCTGTTCATTACTGTCTCATTTGGACATCTCTTTTTCCAGGTTAAGCATCGTTAACCCTATCCTTCATCTAATTGTTTTTAGGAAAGTGAGCTGTCATGTTTGAAAAGTGAATTGTCATTCCTTAAGGAACAACTTAAAGCAGAAATTGCAGAGAAGGTACTTTTTTTAATTAAAAAGTAGCAGCATGGGTGACGTGCTTGGCCTGGACTTATGCACTGTAATAGTGACAGCTGTGAGGTGCACTTTTGATTCCAGGTCTTGCTCTCACCTGCTGTCTGATTTCAAAAGCTTGATGCTCACTGAAGTCATTACGTCTCGTTTCTGGTGGTAGTGAGGGTTTTGCATTACTCCTTAGTTGGGAAGTATGATGGAAGCAGGAAGAAAAGGGCTAGGTGTGTGGGCAGTAAAGGATCTGAAAACTGGCTGAACTGTGGGGCTTAAGGGATTGCAACTAGCGTGGCACACATTCCAACCAGGGGCCAGTGGCTAGTGCTGAATGCCTCGGGATGATCCTGGGTCCAGTACTTTTTAACATCTTCATTAATGACACATGGTGGGCCAGCGTGCAGCCTCAGCAAGTTTGCAAATGACACAGAATTGGGAGAAATGGTTGATACAGCAGGTGGTTATGCTGTTTTTTGGAGGGATTTGGACAGGCTGGAGATAGGGGTGAACAGGAATCCCATCAGGTGTAACAGAGGGAAATGCAAAGTCCTGCACCGGGGAAGCAATAACTTTAGAACCGGTACAGGTTAGGGGCTGACAGGCTTGAAAGCGGCTTTGCAGGAAAAGCCGTGAGGTTCTGGTGAAGAGCAAGTTGAACACAGTCAGAAATGTGAAACGTGCTCAGCATCTTGGGCTGCATTAGGAACAGCGCTGCCAGCAGGTTGAGAGAGCCGATCCTTTTCCTATACTCGGCACTGGTCAGACCCCATCTAGGGTATTATTTGCCATCCTGGGCTGCCCATTACAAGGCAAGGGCATAATGGAGCAACTGCAGCAAAAGGCCGTAAAGGTCATTAAGGGATTGGATCATCTGACAGAAAAGAGGGAATGAGAAAGCTGGGATAGTTTAGCCTCAAGAAGAGGGAGCTCAGAGGCATATTATCAGTGTGTATGAGTACCTTCTGGGAGGGGGTAAAGAATGTGGAGCAAGACTTTCTCAGTGGTATCCAGTGAAAGGACAAGAGGCAGTGGGAGCACAATGAAGTACAAGGAATACTATTTAAACGCAAGAAAAAACTATTATTGGAAGGGTGATAAAGCACAGGAACAGAATGCCCAAAGAAGCTGTGGAGTCTCCAGGCCTGGAGACACTCAAAACCCTGTCGGACACAGTCCAATCAACCTATTGTGTTCACTCGACTGTGAACAGAGGCGTTAGACCAGATGATCTCCAGAGGTCCATTCCAGCCTTAACCATGCAGTGACTTCGTGGTTGCTGTACAGTGTTCTTCAGCTGGCCAAAGAAGGGCAAAATAGACTTAAGAAGACAGAAAAAGAACATCGACTTCAGTAAACAAGAATGATTGCAGTTTCTTGCATGAAATAGTAACTAGAAAACAGAGCTGGCTCTTTTGTGAATACAGCTGTGATAAATATTATATCCTGTTTTCTCCTGAAAAAGGGATTGTAGGTAGGTTCCTTAGCGGGGATGGCAGAAGTTGGTTAAGAAATGAAACTGTGAACAGGAAAGTAACGTCTTCTGAGTGCTGCGGTTTGGCTAAAGCAGGTGCTTGGGTGAACCTTCTCATAGAGCATGATTGTGGACAGTGTTCTGTAGTTACACAACTGAATTACAATACAATACTTACTTCCTATTGCACAACTCTTTTTAGGAGAACCTTGCAAAAGAACTCCCCCAAAATACGGTTCCTGAAAACGAAAAGAAGCACAAGGTAGCTTCAACTTTATCATTAATTTTAGAATTTGGTAATATTTATACATAAGCAATGTAGTGGAAGATCCATGATAAATTATGACAAAAGACATCAAAACGCTTTTAATTTAAACCTTTTTTAATTTTAGAAAATACAAACTCATTTTTCTGAGACCCCTAAACCTCATTTCGATCTGGACTGTGCATCTGTTAGTGTAAAACCAAAAAAGGCTCCAAATGATACTTCTGTGAAAGCCACCATGATGGAAAAGAACAAAATACCTCCTTCCGCGTCTGCCCAAAGTCTCCTGGGTAGTCCATCCCTGAAGGTTTGTAGCTCACACTAGCGAGTTTCTCTTGGCTTATTTTTCTGACTGTATTTCTTACTTCTCTATAGATGCCTGTTGGTTGTTGTGATAAGCAGGGATGTAAAAGGCAGAGAACCACAAAAAAAAAGCCTTCCACAGCAATATTAGAAAGCAGTTTGCATAAGGGCTCCCACTATGTGTTTTCTTCAGTGCTCAGTAACTTAATTTGTCTGTTGGCATTGATCAGTAACAATTCCTGTCCTAGGGGGACTGTGAAATTAATCATGCCTCTAAAATTCTTTTCTTTTTTGCCTTTGGGCCTTTGCTTGACATTTTGGATGGAAAGACAGTTGTTCCACAGCATCTCTAGTGTCTTGCTTGATACTCAGTCTGTGGTTGTAGATTCTCTATTTACCATGGAAAATGGACTTTTAAATGCCATCCTCTTTTTCCCCAGACATACATTATAAAGACTCCTCCAATACATAAGCTGCAAAGTGGCAGCAGAGATCTGCATTCAGAGCAGAGCATGAGGAAAAAGCAAAAGGTGCTGCTGCAGCTGGATGCTCAGTCAGACAGCTCGGAACACAGTGACCTCCTGGTAGGAGTTGGGGAACAGCAGGGGTACCCTGCAGTTCCTTGTGCATGCTTGGCGGGGTTTAACCACAGGTGGTTACAGCCCAATACTGATGTATCTAGGAATGTATAGGAAGCATGTGGGGTTCTGTACCCAAGACAATATTTCTGGGTATATTTTTATTTCATTGGTTCTTTCTGGAATTCTGTTTGTATGTGTGTAATTAGTAACTGTGTGACAGAGTGCCACTGTACAAAACTATATATTAACTTGTATAATGATTTTTTACATTGGTTTTATTGGCCGGTTGAGGCTTCATAGTAACATCTTTTTTTTCCCCGTACCCTAATATTCCTGGGAAGAAGGCAAAAATATTTTTAATATAGTGTGATTAAGTAACTTCTTTGTTTTTAATTTAAGACCATAGTCTCGGAGGAAGAAATGTTTAAGAAACTGTACAAAGATTATCCTCAAGCTTCACAGCTGTATGCCATGACACCAAAAAAGGTACCTTAGCTTTTCTTTAGATCAAAACAAACAGTTAATCAAATTTGTTGTAGAAACTAAGAGAAGGCTTTATTTTTCTTCTTAGAAGCCAGCCACATCCACCGTGAAAACTCCAGGCTCTATACCGAAACTCACAACCATGAGGCAAATGCGAGAGGCTGGATGGACTGCAGTTTCTAAAATGGACAGGAAACGAAAAATGAAAGAAGCTGAAAAGCTCTTTACTTAAAATGAAGAAATGACTAGTGGCCCAGCGTCGTGCGACCAGCACAGCCACAGCAGCGGTATTCCTTCAGCGTTGGCACGTTGTCGCGTTCTTCTGTCACACTCGGGATGTTTAGAACCACAGTCATTTCCTCTGAACACATAAACTTTCTAGATACACAACTCCATCACTCTGCAGAGTGTTTTCTGCATTTCATCCCATATGCTGTAAAAGGCCAGGGGACAAATGAGCCCATTTTTACACGTAGAAATAACTACAGAGAAGGCTGTTTCAAAAAGAAAAAAGGTCTGGCATTAGAAATACTGGTTTTAAAGAAATTCAGTTTTGTTCTTTCAAATTTCCTCTCTTTTTCTTAATACATAATTCACAGAAGGATGTTACGGAGTGAAAGGCATGCTGAGGTTGTTACAATGCATGCACTGTTACCTGAAGTTGTCCATTTCAAGTGTTTCGGAACCGCCTGGCTGGTTCCTTCCAGTAGCTCTATTTCAGTCTGGTTGAACAGTTTGAAACTTCCACAGTTGAGTTTTTGGTAGCATAACTTTGGCATGAAAAGATTTCAGCTTCCTAATGAATAAAATATGCAGATGTTTTAAGATTGTAAAAACAACATTAAGATGTCATTAAATTGTTTATCTGAACCGTCAAGTGTGGGGCCAAATGTTGTTGCTTTGTGTTGTGACACAGGGAGAGGTCACCAGGCAGCCTGCCCACGGACGCGCAGCTTCTGCCATGGGCCTGTAGGAGGGGTTTAAAATAACATGTCTCTGCGTCTCTGCGTTAATCCTTGATTAATCTGAGTATCACAACAACAGAAACCTGCTTCAGAGCCTAGAGATAAGAAAGCTACAGGTATATCCTAAAATACTGAAAAAACCCCCACATCCTGGATTCATCTGAAGTGGGTGGCAAAGGATACGAACTTTGTTAGTTTTGTGTAGCAATTTTAGATGTCAGCTTGTAGTATGGGTTCCTTATGCCCTGTCTGTTGAGCAGTGATATGAGTAACGCTTTTTGATTGTATGTAACCGACAACTACTCCCCAAAGATCTGAATATTCAGAAGGATATGCTGACTGTTCTGAAGCCCAGCTCCTGCTGGCACCTCGGGTGCCAGTGCCAGGCTGGATGTGCAGAGGAAGGGGCTCTCCGACACATCACGCAGGTGCTGCTACCTGGGTACCCCTGCTCACACAATGAGCTCAGACACGAAACCCCAGCCCAGGAAACTTGGAAGTGCTGATGGACTGGCCTGAAGGCAAAGATGACAGGATGTCACCAGAGGAGGAGGTGACGTGTGCTGAAGAGGCCCCTCTGTACGATGGAATCCCAGGAACTGAGAGGCAGTATGCCCTGTTCACGGGTGGGCCCTGCCCTGTTGCAGGGGAACGTTGGAGGTGGAAAGCTGCTGTGTGGAGTCCCCTGCAACAAGGCGCAGGAAGCACTGAAGGACAGGTGAATCGAGCCTGTTGCGGAGGTGAAAGCCAGCTGGGCAGCTGGTTTCTTTTCTCCACATTTGGAAATGGAATCTGTTGTGCAAACACATTTTCTGAGAAGTTAGGATGACTTTTCTTGCTGGAAAGATATTTCATAAGTTTGCAGAATATTGAGGTTTTAATATATCTGCTAAACCAGAGTAAATTAGACCAAAAGAAAAACAGAGAAGCTGCTTATAACACAGACATTCCAGATGTCTGTTTTTTCCAAGAAAGATTATTTTCCCATAAGTAGGATAAAATAATCCATTTACATCTCTCCCAGGTAAACTAATTACTTATTTTTTGACTGTATACAGGAAGTGTCACATAAAGGCAGTTACTTACTAATATCTCCTTAGTTACTTTGCAGGCGAAAGAAAATGCAGTCACCGAAAACACAAGACCTGTGAGTAAGTTTATTTTAGTGGGAGGTGGTGTTTTATACAAGAACCTGACGAGGTTTGTTACTTCATCGCAAGGTGGCACGTTGCTGATTTTGGCTGCTGCTGTTGTGGTCATCATCAAGAGATATGCTGACTCGACTCCTAAGGTAGTTACTGAGCAATCAAAAATAGAGTCCAGTTGTTTCTGAGTAGGTGAGACTTCTGCTCTCCAGCCATCTCAGTACGGCTGCGTAGAGACCTGTGAACTGCGGTTTGCACTCTTGAAGGTAACTTTCAAAATCCACATCAAGCCTCGCCTACCCACATTCATAGCTTTGCTAGTTCCAGAACATGTGACCACCGAGTGCCTTGCTTTAAAAATTCAGGATTTAAATGATTGTTCATTGAATCTTTACATGAAAAACACATTGGTATCGACCAACCATGATTTCCAGTGTCGTGGCATGTGTACAGTATCTAACCTTGTAGGAGAAGAAAGGACAAGAGGCGTAAGCATAAGAATTATAAATGCTGGTTAACTAGTGTAAGAGTTTCTGCAGGTCGCAGTGAGTCTTGTGGGAATGAAAATGTCTTTAAGGTGAAGAAAAGTCTTTCCACTTGAACAGGAAAAAATCCAAGTCTGGGCTGCCCACATCTAGACTCGGTAAGTAATCAGTCAGGACTCATCGGTTTCCAGTCCTGTCACAGTAGGGTTGGGAATCCATGGTGCATCATATAATCCTGATATTCTGTCTCGTGGTGTTTTGTATAAATCATCTGCAAAATCACAAAACGGCTGCTGGCCCTGCTATGTAAAACTTGCAAGAAATGCAATAAACCAGGAAGCAAATTCATACTTGCCTCATACTACGCCTGTTCCTGTGGAAGGACTGTGTAAATAAGGTACTAAACATGCTTCAAAATGTAAATGACTTTATATTAGATAGTAAACCAGTTTGCACAGGAAGTTAATGACAGTTGGTAAATGCTTGTGCTTCGGCTTGTGAATCCTTCAGGTAGCCCGGAATTCAGAGAAGTAAAAATGGAAAGGTACCAGTTAGCAGCTCTTCCTAGTGAATGTTGATGACCTCATCTGTGGAATTCTGTTACAGTTTTGAAGGCTGAGAACTGGCAAGATAAGTTTATTTCTAAATGCCTAATTCACAAGGCTTTAAAATGTACATTAACCTGTGCCAATCAATGTAGTTATCAATGAAGTTATCACTTAAACATTATTTCCTTTTTTTTCAATGCTATTTCCAGTAAAATACATACATATTTGTCACATTTCTTTTTGCTCAGGGTCTTTACTGATCAGTTTTAAGGAGGATGTGATCTTCAGCATCTGAGCTGTACTGAGCAAGAGTATAATTGATAACGACTGCAGATACCAATGTATTGCCTCTTCCAGCGGAGCAGCTGGGGACCTGCAGCTTCCAACAGGTTGTTTCTCAGTGCTGGGTTACCTTAACACCAGTGTTAGGACATGCTGGTATATGTTATTGCTTTCCTTCAGAATATTGCTTATGCCGTTCTCCGGTTCCTCTTCTGTCAAATACTTCTTCAGGGAGGATGAGCAATGCTGTGGCATACCATGCCTGCTTGCTTTCTGCCTGTCACCCTTATTTACCATGACTGCAATTTTCTTTTCCTCTAGTGCTTTGCATATTTTTCCTCTTTTTTCCTAAGGCAGATGCTGGCAAGTTCCTGCTCTCATCTCTTCAACACCCCTGGCCTCGCATCATTCCCAGCCCATCTGGCCTTCACGGAACAGTATGTCCTATTCCTTCAAGCTCTGCCATTGTCAGCAGGTTCCCAATACAGCTCTTTATCTACACTGTGGCCTCAACTAAAATGAGCCAGTCTGGCCGCAGAAATTCAAGGGAATGCTGCTGCCGTATGTAGTGACACCTGCTTGAATCCTGGGCTGTGTATGATTTGGAGTCAGAGCTTCAGGGATGTTTATTGGTAAGGTTGGGACAAGCTGATCACTTGATTTCAGCTTTTCTGATGTGCCTCCCAGCTGTGTTAAGTGACAGAAATGTAGGTGGCAGAGTGACAACCACCTGGAGCCTTGTGATAGCTGAAGATTTCTTAGGGTGGTGAGTGGTGTTTCATGCATGGTGTGCACAGTGCAACAGATGCAACGTGGTTGTTAGAGCAGAGGAAATCCTTCCATCTACCTGCTGCGTTCTGTATGCCAGCCGATGGCTGCGTTTTGCACCTTGCTTTGATTGGCTGGAGCTGAAATATGTGATGCTGTAAACCCTGTTGCTGTTGTTTGTCCAGACCCGCTCTGGGTCTTTGTACGTTCTCTATGAGAAATAGGTGATCTTTGGCCTGAACAAAATACTTGGCTGTAAGGTAGGAAGTGAAAAGGATCAGAAAATGCATAGGATGAATTCCATTCATTACAGCCTCTCACTTTCATTGTTCAGCAGTGGGCTTATTTGTCTTTGTTTAATCTGCTTTTTCCTCTTTCTGAACTGTCTTGGGAACAAATACAGCTTTCCTTGAATTTACCTACTGGATAAGTGAGTAACCCTGGGTCTGTAGATTGTAAAATGTGGGGATTAAAAGAGAGCTGATTCAGTTTAAATACTTAGCTTGGCCATGTGTTTAATGCCCCATTTCCAATTTCTGGTGCAGATACCTGCTTTTAATTGAGACTTATTTTTTCGGTAAGACAAGTAATAACTTCTTAGTTACAACAGTCTAAAACAAAAGCAGAAGAGAGGAAAGCCTGAAAAGTTGAATTGAAAATTAAGTTCTAATTCTGAGAAGAAAAATAATGAGCATTTGCCTGTTCTGATGCTTGTCTTGGATCTCATAAAATATTCAAATATCAAGCAAGTGTCATTTTCCATCGTGGCTCTGTTAAGCACAGGAAATGTCAAGCTTGTTATTTCCTCAGTACAGAGTGTTGGGGTTTTACTCAAAAGCTGAATTTTTCAAATGAATGCTCCAACCCCTGTTGTTCCCAGTACTCACTTTTAACCTCTGTACTGTCTAATACTGAGGTTCAGCAAGAGACTCACACTGTGCAATGAGGGGCCTTCCCCCAGCAAGTGGTCCAAAATTTTCTCTTTCGTCTGTTCTCTTTGTTGTTAAATGCCCGGCAGAAGGTAGCAGCAGTGGGCTTA